TTTTTTTTTTTTTTTTTGGTAAAGGGTGTTTGACTTTCTTTGCACGTTCACTTTGAAAACACTGGGTTGGTAAGTTCGGTGACCTTTCCAACATGATTACGTAATGCGTGAGGTCGAGCTAGTGCAAGACGAGCATTTGTGCTTAAAAAGTATATCTTTATATTATATATTTTTATTTTATTTATTTTTTTTTTAGAAAATGACCAAACATTTAGCTAGATAAGACCCTAATTCCTTGGCTGGGATCGTGTAGACCACTTTGAAGCTGCATTGAAACTGCAATTTGAACCTTCAACCCACTGGCTGCCATTAATATCCACTATATGGAGAAAAATCCAATTCAACTGAAAAATTAAGACTTGAACATCTTAGCATGGGGGTAAGTAAATTATCAGGAAATATTTATATAAGTTAACTAATCTTTTAAGGAACCAAGAGGTTTTTTTTTTTTAACGGAGTTATAAAATTATAAAGATGAACTCAAATTAATATATTGTATGGGGACAGCATGCATATGGTTTCAGATAAACATTAAAACATCTGTTTGATATTTTATAGATCATATTAGAGTAGGCCTGAAATTTTTTAGGAAACCTGAAGCAACAATTTGATCAAAAGCAGAGGAATAAAACACGCTTTTACTAAATGCATAAATATCTGCTTAATTCATCATGGACAGTAAATTATGAGAAACGAACCAACAGAAATTATTCAACAAACACTAATAAAAAAACATGAAACTAAATGACTGAACAAACACACTGATTTAAACAGAGTGCATTTTTCTTTACAAACAGCACTAACTCATCTTTTACTCGTATGTCATGGACTACAGCTGGATTTGAAACTCTGAGAGCAGCAAGAAAAGACATAAATCCGTGAACACTAAAACACTTGATCATTTACATAATATAATAGTAATTATCGTCAACTGAAATACATATAGAGAAAATAATACTCACAGAGCACAAGAGGAAGTTGACTGAGCTCCATACTGACTGAATGATGACAGACGGTTAAAGACACAGATTGTGTTAAAGCCTCAAGACTTCCTGAAACCTGCAGTCAGATCTTTAGAAACATCAGGACAAATGTGTTAACACTGAACTGAAATATAACAAACCAAACCACCACTATGAGCTCATCTCTATTTATTTCCATTCTATCAGAACTTTGATATGTTTAGATATGTTAGAATAGATAAGTTTATATATATTTATGCAACAGTTATTTCTGGTCATCATGGCGGAAGCCCAAATCCACTATAATTTTTAAAATAATACTGTTTTTGTCACAGAATGTAGTAGGAGTTTATTATGCGAGAATGTACTTGTTTAGATAAATATGCACTTTGTTGATAAAGATAACATATATGTGACCCTGGAGCACAAAACCAGTCTTAAGTCGCTGCGATGCTGCGCTTCTCGTCCAGTGTGCGACCGCCTGAAACGCTGTTTTTTTCACCTCCGTGACCAAATGTCTTTGTTTGGGCTTCTGAAAACTGATGATGTCAGGAAGCAGTGGTCGCAATTTACTTTTTAACTCTGTTCCTGACCATTATAACCCCAATTTGCTATTGTGTGCTGCGCATTTTACTGAGGACAGCTTCCACAACACGAGTGAGTAGTGCCGGATTCGCCCAAAAGTTTTTGTTGAAAGACGGAGCAAGGGGCGTGGCAGTATGAACACCGTCTAAGCTGTTCGCCAATCACGACGCACTGGGACAGCTAACCAATCACAACACATTTTGTTTTTCGGAAGGCGGACCTTCATCAAAGCCGGAACTAATCGAGCCGTTTGTGCCAAGCTGGGGAGAAAGGTATTTTAATAATGTAAATTATGTGAAAAATAATGCGTTTTTCGAACCACCAAGCATGAGAGCCTGTTCTAGTACACCCCCAAAACAAAATCAAGACTTTGTAAAAGAGCATAATAGGACCCCTTTAAAGGCGATTTTTTTCAATATTTAGATTTTTTTTGCACCCTTAGAGATTCCAGATTTTCAAATAGTTGTATCTCGGCCAAATATTGTCCTATCCTAACAAACCATACATCAATGGAAAGCTTATTTATTCAGCTTTCAGATGATGTATAAATCTCAATTTAGAAAAATTTACCCTTATGACTGGTTTTGTGGTCCAGGGTCACATATTTGAAAATTTGCTTCAAGGTTTTCGGAGATGTAAGCTCCAGGACATCAGTGGCCGAAGTAGTTCTGCACAAAAAAGGGATTTTAAAGACACTCCATCATTGTTTCTTTTGTATTTTCACACTCGTGCGATATGAGATATGGCTGTATATCGGCACGCTGTGATTACCTGTCACCTTGCTATGGCCTAATCACTGCTGCCAATATACAGCCATATCTCACGGCTACAAGTGTGATATCACTCATACACACACACATATATATATATATATATATATATATATATATATGTGTGTGTG